CTGAGGTATGTTTTATGTTTGTACAAAATTATACTCCTAATAAAAGATAATCAACTTTACACATAACTGTGTTTGTGTTCAATCTTGTGATTTAATGCTCATTTCCCTAAACTGCATCAAAACTTCCAAAGTTAAGCCAGGGCTGACGTGTCTTTCGGCACAACTTTCTGAGTCACTCAGTGCATTTAGTCATAATGCAGGCCTCGCTAATGTGGTTCTCTTCAGTTTAACACACTCGGACAGCCATGATTTGTTTATAAAAAAAAATCACACCCAGTGTTTTATCCCACACTTTTTTTACAAGAATAAGGCATTATCCATTCTCTCAGACTAACCGTGGACAGCAGTTTTAGGCGAACAGAAGACTTGATGGCTGAATTGGAACAGATGACTTCAGCCTGTGAGGCTTTAGGCTTGTAGGCCTCACAGGCCGAGTATTCATATATCCCCTTAGCTGCTCTGAATTATTGCCAAGATCCAGCTCTTTGAAATTCTAGGAGACTAATGCCAAAGACACATCCCCCTCTTCTTTTCTACACAAAAGCTTAGTGGAAAAAAAAAGGTTTACTTAACAGCTAAACTTTCTCTTCATCACTTTTGCGCTCTCTGCCATGCTCAGGATAAATAAGTCATGTAAATAAACGTGGGCCAAAGAGGAACAACAGTCAAGAACAAACAGTCAATGAATGTTATCATGAAATCCTTCAAAATAAACTAGTTTAGCATTTCCTGAAGGAAATACCATTGCTGTACGGCAGCAAAAGAATAGCTTTAGTTCTGTGTAAATAAAAAGACCAATCACAAATTAGTATGTAAGTGAATAAAAAGAAAATATGAGACCAATTGCAAACCAGATTAGGGAGGGTTCACGTGTTTTTTCATGTAAAAACACCAGACGCATGACGTGTCTAGAGACTCGTTTTTAAGTTGAACTTTTAACATGTGCAACAGTCAGACGTCCATCATGCATGTTTACATAGAAAAACTGCAGACGCTACATCACACGCTTTTAAACAAAAACGCGTTCTGCGCGAATGATAATAATATTGCTGCTAATTTCGAAAGATTAAGATTCTAGCAATCTATTTTAATAGAAGATATTCAATGTTTATTCTTACATTCTTTGAAAAATTATAGCTTATACAAAGCAATAAGGAGGAGTGGTTGATTTCTTATTTGTTGACATTGGTAAGTCAACTGTACTGCACTGACCTACTTAACAAATCCAAACAAACCAGCATTAACCTTTACTGTTCTGTTAACATTGTACATGGTCACAATGAATTGCTAAATTTGATTTAGAACAGACGCTGCTTATCTTCCTTGTCTTTCATGAGCCTCAACTTGCCTTACATGTGAGAGGTTGCGCTAGACATGATGATGTAAGCAGTTATGGGACACAGTTCATTGGGTTATGAACTACAGTGAATTCTCCTACTTGTGTGTACTATACTGCATGTAAGCCATCATAAATCTATTAGTGTCTCATATCACTTGCTCACACTTTAGATAAGGACAGAAATGAAATGGGCCTTAGGTGAACCATCTGATATGGCATAATCAATCCAAACCACAGTTCATTAGGGAAAGAGCCAATGTTGACATGAAAACCCTAAAAAATCTCAGTCTCCACTTGTAAACACCAACAATGTTAAATCCTGTAGTCTTAATAAACTCTCTCAACCAGATTCCCAGTGTCCAGTTTTTTTGGAACTGTCCATATTTATTGCTAGAGCAAAGACAATGGCCCAATGCCAAACACCTGACACAAACTAAAAGCGAAAGAGAATCGATACAGAACGAGCAATCACATTTGAGTCAGATTAAAAGGGTTCAGTGCCTGGAACCAGAACACAAACAACAATGGAATGAAGCCAGAAAAATGCAGCCATGGTCACATTTCACATTAATTTTTCATTAGAAAAGCATTCTTACAATGTGCTATACCAGTGCTTGTTTCAGACAGTGTGCTGCTATTGATTTCCAATTCGGATTCAGAAAAAAGTTTGAGAGACAAAATATGAAATCTATTTCATAGTTGCAGGTTTTAAATTACACAGTCTTGCGCAGAAAAACTGCACTACACATGCACATAAAACAAGCCACATGATCCACTCCAACTTCTTGTTTTCATGCGATGTGTTTGATTCACATCATATGAATTCATATAAAATCCCCACCTCGTAATAGTTTTATTTCTCAGGAGATCAGGTTGTGTACACAGTACAAATTAAAGTTCTCATGTGTTTCTTCGAATAAACAAAGCCAAGGGCCTGTAATTATTCTTGGCTGATATCTAGTTGACCAAGCTTTTTATAAAAAAAAAAAGACACCCCATAAAAAGCAAACAACATCCTTCTCTGGATTTCACATCCTTAAAACAGTGTTTTTTCCCTCCTCTAAATATTCTCTAAAGTATGGAAGCCCATTTCTGCCACATGAATAAAAAAAAAAAGTAAGTGCAACATTTTAATCTCATAATTCAGATTTTTCTCACAATTCTGACTTTTCTTACAATTCTGACAAAAATTCTTAGTTTACATCGCACAGTTTTTTTTTTGTTTCCAACATAAAAAAATGTAAAACTTGTAAAGTTTTTCCACGATTCTGAGAAAATATGATATAAGCTAAATTTGATATAAAGTCATATATATTATGATATAAACTCAGAACTGAGATATAAACTTGCAATTCTAAAAAAAAAAAAAAATCTTGTAGTTCTGAGGGTTTTTTCTCTTAATTATGAGTTTATATCTCACAATTAAAATTTTTGATAAAATAGTTGCTGCTGGAGTCACGCACAGTACAGTCATCTTCATTCCTTTGTGTTAAAGACCCACAGTCTCACAGTATCAGTCAGAAAACCAGCACAATAGAGGCTTTCTCACTGTAACACTGCGTGCAAGAGAAAAGCTTGATTGTGCACCAGAATAGACACACCAGGCTCTGTGTTCACACGTCACACTCAACCGGGTTAGTGTTTTGTGTCAGAACAGAACATTTGATGTAGCTAAACTCCCTTGAGAGGTGCTGACCACCTAATGATGTTTACATTCCATGTAATGCATTAGTGCAATACCATCATATACTTGTCATTTTTTGCATACCTCTGCAGCATGGATTCAAGAAACCTCAGAGGGCCTGTTCTCATCACTAGAGAAAAAAAGAGCCTTGTTGCATATTCAGTGAATGCTGAGGACGTGCCTATGGAGTAATCTGATCATGGAGCAATCTGTACTGCCAAGAAACCATTCTTTCTTGGGACTGAACCATTCAGAGGACACTAATCTGCCTTTTCATTTGTGAACAAAATTTATTTGTTCAGTACATGGCTTTGAGCTTAGCAAGTTCCTTTGTCCTGTATGACACTGTATGCATCAAAAACATGGCCAAAATCGCCATTTATTCAATTATACACTGTTGTTTGCTCCTGAGCACAGACCTGTGAGTGTTTGCTTTTACTTATCTGCTTTAAGCCATGTGGGTTGACAAGCACGCACTCATTCCTGGGTGGTCAATGTCCAGTTTCCTGTTTTGACTGATAACAATAAAGACTGGATATCAGATTCACTTTCAGACCTGTAAAAGGGACGTTTACAAAAGTTCCTCTGCACGTACAAGCTTATATTAATATGACTCAACTAAATGGTTAAATGATATGTTAGCACTTGCGTAACTTAGGGTTGGTGTTGTACCACGGGCTTTCCAAGAAAAACAGACATATTCTGAGATTGTAAGCCCACACTGACGTCTTACACATCTGGTTACCATTAAGGTCCGTTGACTCAGGTTACTCGCTGCAGGAAACAATCGCACAGCTCAAAGGAACCTTCTGAGGGAGCCTCCCTTTGCCAAAATGCTGCCAGAGCCTCATTTGTTGCTTCAAGTGATAGTTCACCCAACATTCTAAACCTGTATGACTTTCTTCTTTAGAACAAAAAAGGAAGTTATTTTGAAGAATCTTTCCATATTACAGTTAATGTGCACATTTGTCACATAAATATCAGAATACAGGTTTGGAACGACATGAGGGTGAATAAATAATGACAGAATTTTCATTAAACATTTGATTGAGTTCTACTCAAAGGATCTCAATCTGAAACCGTTAACTCTGCAACCTTAACATTCAAGGCTCCTTTCTAGGTCATATGAATTTGACTTGTTTTAGAGATCTCGAAAGTAAATTTATCAAGTGTGATGTATCGCACATCAAAACAATGTAAAGATCATTTGTCTTACAGAAACAGAGCAGCAGCAGCAGGTTCTGTTTAAGCTTGGCTTTTATCTGCAGCAGCTGTGTAATTGCCTGCACATGCCCCTTTTTGCCTCAACCATAGTGCAGATTTCCCAGCTGACTACTGAGAAACTATTTTACTTTGAGCACCACCTTGTGGCTAGGACAGAAACCATGATTTATGATGTTAGCAAACTTCTCTTCTTCGTGACATTTCACAGACAGAACGTGATATATCTGGCACCATGCCATAATTTTTCCTAAATAAATAAATACTAATAATAATAATTCAGCCAGAATAACTGTGGCGTTCTGTGGCAGGCTATATCTTAGTATAAAACACACAACTGAAGAATTAAATGTATAAACAAACGAAAAACAGCAAATCATTGTTTTTTGGTATTTAATTTCCCTGTTGTACTGCACAAATCATTTTCTTAATCAGTATTTTTGTCTTGTTTTACAGTAATATATCTGAAAATCATCGTGACACTGTTTATTCCTTATTTAAGCATACATCTAATAACATTTGTGGGGGGGGTGTATCATTTGTCAATGGAGTAGGAAAAATGTCTCTATTTTTCCTTTTTTTTTTCTTCTCACATAAATATATCTTATTTTAAGGATGTTCAGATTTGAAGAATCTGATTCTATTTTTAGTATTAAAAATACTATGAAAATGATTATTGTTATTAGTGGTAGTAGTCGTAGTATGGTAATACAGTCTAAATACAGTCCAGTTATAATGGAACGTCAACACAGAGAATTCCCTACTCCAGCAGGATGATAAGAGGTTTCCCGACTTTGTGGCGAGCTTGCATTTCCTTCCTCAAATACACGCTTACAATACTGCTGGAGTTGCCAGATGTACCGCAATTAAACTGAAAGAGGAGTCAATTTTCCTGCAGTGAATAAAGAGAGTGGGTGTTTACGGAGCTAGGAAGAGTTTAGAAGAACTTAACGTACCTTTTTGTTGTTCTGCCCCGGAGACTTGACTGAAAAGTCGGCTGTTGACTGTAAAACTCTTCCGAATCTGTTCTGTGGCTGCAAGGACATTCGACAGATAGTATGGAAATAGTATAAAGGATGAAAAGAGCTTACAGGTGTTCCTTGACGTTACTGCCATTTTTGTGTATCTTAAAAGGTAAGTCACTTCTCAAATTCAGTTAAAGCAGCTGCACTTTCAAAAGCACTTAAAATAGATGTTTATTTTCATGACTCTAAATAATGTTTTAGTATTGTAAATATTCACATTTCCTTTTAATGTTGTCGTGTTATGGTTTCCGGTTTATTTGAATATTTTGTACAACTTATATATTTCTCGTAAGTCACTTCAAGGGCTCCATAATAAGACGGTTTGTACAAAGTCCAAAAGTGCTTTGTGTAACTAAAAACTCAACTCGCTTGTTTTATTCTCATTTCAGTATGTGAACTGTGCTCATCTGTTCGAGCAAGCCGTGCTACAAAGTTTGTGGCGGAGGGCGGCAGTCTCCAGTTGAGCTGTGAAGTGCAACACTGTGGGCTTGCTGGCTGGACTGGAGGATGGGTTTTCCAGGAATTGGACACAGTAGGATTTACTTCCCTCATTCCCTCTGAACGAATCGAGATGTCCAGGTCCAGCTCAACAGCCAATAGCACACATCTGTTGGTCCACATTCACAACATCAACCAGTCAGATGCTGGAGCATACAGGTGCTTGATATCCTGGCCTCAGAATATCACTAGCAGTGGACATGTGACATATGTTAATGTGACTGCAGGTATATATATATATATGCATGCTGTTGTTTGAAATAATTTAAATTTTTTGGTTTCATAATTTGCATACAATATATTGCTCAAATGAGAAAGTATCTATCTTTATTTTTGGCCAGCAGCAGCAGCAGCAGACTCATCAGGCAGAAGCCTCTCTCATAGAGTCCTGCTTTGTTTTGGTGCCTTGATGTGTTTTCCTGTTGTTTTGGGATTTGTTTGGTGTCTCACCCGGGATCATCATCCACCATCACCCCCTGTCCCGCCTCGCCCCCGCACCTCCTGTAAGATTCAACTCCATGTTTTGCAAATATGTCATACAGTTTAAATGATTAATACATTTAATTTAAATGAATAAATATAGTTTACATGTAATTTTTTAAAATAAAAATATAAAATTCTGATTTTTTTTTTAATGACTTTTCTTGTTCTAGTTGCAGCTAGAGTGAAACCAAAAAAGGAAGTAAGTATCTCAGTACATTGTGTGTTTTGATAAGAATCTGATTTGTTTAATAAGTCAATATGGTCAATTTCTTTACTTGTCATTATTTGTGCGGTTGGTGTATGCAGAAGTTGCAGTGAACGATTCAAGGCGGCAGAATGATCATCCAAAACAAGCGTCTGAGCCAACTGTCTATTCCTCGGTGCATTTCTCCTGAACACAAAAACATCTTGCATTTCTATCTCTCATGTGGCTGTGGGTTATTTTCAATACCAGAGCAAATATGACTGTAAAAATAGTGGCAGTACAGTTGCAAAGTTAGACAAGATTGAAAAGATATCAGCTTGACTTTGAAATGTGAATGCTAGCAATGTTACACTTTGATTTAATATACAGTAGTTGTAAAGCCATATTAAATGTTGTTGTTCTTCCAGATATGTCTGTAGAACGTGTGCATTTTGTATATAAAATGTGTGGTTGTACCTGAAATAAAAGAAGACATATCTGAGAAAATTGCATTAGACTCATATTTCAAATGTTTTTCACAACAGACTGGTATTTGACACAAAATACATTTTATTTTTTATAATAAATTCTTAATGGCACATGCCATAACCAAATATACATATACATAATATTTTAAATTGTTTTTATTTGACTCTGTGTATTTTTTTTTACGTAATATCAACAATTTTTAAAAGCAATAAATTATGGCAGTACAAACATATATGCCAACACGTTTTATGGCCAAGTTTGTCACTGTACAAGAATATTTAACTCGCTCTCTGCAAACTAATGCCCTCACTAATGAGTACGGCTGAAAACTAACAACTGAATCATGAGGAATGAGGAGAGACACACATATGTAAATAAATAACACATCATTTCCAAAGAAAATCCTTCAGAAATGATTCTGCCAGCCATAATTGAATAACAAAGCATTTACAAAAAAGGACCTTTTTGTACATCCACAAGTCTGAAAGTAAGAAAAACCATGTTTATGTGTCTGTGCTTTCTCAAGTGTGTTTGAGAGCTCAAAATGAAATTTATTAAAGTATATAATTTCATTTTTTAAGTTCAATTGTGCAAATATATCTGTTCAATAACATTAGTGTTGAACAAATATACTGAAGTCTTTATTTAGAGAAATAAATATACGCTGAAATGAACAGACAGATTTTACTTAAAAAATATAATAAAATGTGTCTTTGCCATCCATGAAATATGTTTTTTTGTTAAAACCTTTCCCCTTTACCACAAATAAACCATGGCAATCTTCATCTTTGGTTACCCTCAGGAAAGGTGAATTCGACCTTTTCACATCACTCAAAAAAAACAGAACTCAGTCTTCAGCAGAGCATAGTTCTCTATAGCATTTTAAGGCTTACACTGATGGGCGATGTGTTACAAGACTCAAAACGACCCGTAATCTCTGTAAAAGACTCAGCACAGTGCAGGAGCTTATAATGCTATTTTGTAGTCCGTATCTCTTGTAACATTTAATGATTGAGAACTCTTCAAGTATTTCAAGTGGCTGTGTTAATATTGAGCATCTGTCTAGAAAGCAATTGCAGTTAGGCAAGGATAGTTTTCAACACTTGTTTGAGCACTACATTTAAAATGTTGGAAAAACAGAGACATATGTTGCTTTTTCTACTAAGACTGGTGTTCATTTCTGTCCTCTGAACCATTTTTGTGTGTTTGTAGGATCAGTTCTTACAATAGTGTTCAGTTGTGTATTATGTTGGAGAGTGATAACTGTTGCATTAGCAAGAGAAAATGGTCCCTTTTTCCTCCAATCTATAAAAATCCATTCAAAGTCACTGCCTAGAAAGACAAAGAACAGACACACTGGGTAAACTATGGTACTTTTAAAAGTCCACAGATTAAATAAAGTACATATAAAATTCAAATGGGGATGAGTGAAACCCTTTATTTTCTTTTTGATCTGACACCAAGTACTATGTAGAGCCACTATTTCTCACATATATATAAAAACAACTACATTTATATTTTTAAATGTAATTTTAATTCATTTTGTTATGAGCTTTTTGTCATTTTATTAGTTTTTAATATTTCTATTGTTTTAATTTATTTTTATTTTTAATAAATATTTCTACAAAATAAAATAACATAGGCCTATATATATTTAATTTTTTGTTTTAGTCATTTTAGTACTCAAACTTGTTTCAGTTACTTACCAAAACAACATTTCTTAATTTGCAAGTTTATGCGTTTCATCTAATATTTATTATTATTTATTTATTTTTGCTTTATTTCAATTAACAAAAACTATTTTGTAATAGTTTTAGTTCATAGTAACAACACAGATGAAAATCCTTTGTGATTTCTTAGAAAAAAAGGTAATTAATTTAGCACCATTGAACATTCCATTATTAGCATTAAAAGGGGCTAAACTGGAAATTATGACTAATTTATTACTGTTTATTTATTAACAATATTTCAGTATTTCTACTTGTTCTGATGAGTAAAAGGTGAAATAGTTACTATTCTTTCTATACTGTATATACTGTACTTACTAACAAAATTCATTTTTTCACTTCAAACCTTGACTCGCATTCATTTTTATGCTAAAAATTTTTAAAGGTGATAAAATAAGTACTAAGAAAAACTTTAGATTTATATTTTATGCAAGTTTGTATTTCAAGATGTATCTATACCTAGCTTAAAGATATGTAAGTACAGTAATATGCAAAGTACCTTTTGTCCATGCAGTGGCTTCTGTCTGACCTAATGACCCTGAAAGAAAGGAAAATTATTATTCTAGTGAATGAATTCCAATCTCATTATTCAGTTTACAAATGGAATCAAATGCACTGTTACAGACTTATGATAACAAATGCACTTGCACTTCAAAAACAAGAGTAACATACACACTGTTATCATTTCAACATAAAAAAAAATTTGTCTTTCTCTTTATTTATTTATTCCTTCCCTTTCTAGCTTGTACTTATTTGAACAATGCCTAAAACTTGGTATCACAAGCACTTTCTGTGTCTGTTTGCCTCTTTAAGAAGAATCGCTTTATGTATTCCCCAATTGTAAGTCGCGTTGGATAAAAGCATCTGCAAAATGACTAAATGTAAATGTAAACATCGCCATTGTTGATAATCTGATCTACTATAAAACCGACTTTGAAACCGATTTCAAAATACGCCCAGTCAATATTAAAGGTTATTCGAGTACACAGTACTTACAGTGGAGTGGCTCAGTTTGTCAAAGCGGAATTTCAAGTTTGACCTTGGTGAAGTTTTGTTCTTTCCATCTAAGAAAAACAACAGGCGAGTTATTGTTTTTGTGCCAAGTGCAAGCATTTGTGTGTGCATGCAAGTATACTCATGTTTATGCACATCTCATAGCCACAAATACTGTATGCGGACACCACCTTTTAACTGACAAGTCAGACTATTTTAATTGCGAGTCTGACTCTTTCAACTATTACCAATTTCCTATTAATGGTTTTAATGAGAAATGTTCAACAAGCATATATGGGTCTGGTTTTTTAGGGGTTCAATTACTTTTAGCCAAATACTTGTTTATTTTAGTTAACATTTTTAACATTCTAATGTTCAACATTTCTAATTTTCAAGTAATAGTTCACTCAAAAATAAAAATTTGCTGAAAATGTTGTCACCCTCAGGCCATCTAAGATGTGGATGAGTTTGTTTCTTCATCTGAAGAGATTTGGAGAAATTTAGCATTACTTCACTTGCTCATCAATGGATCCTCTGCAGTGAATGGGTGCCGTCAGAACGAGAGTCCAAACAGCAAATAAAAACATCACAATTATCCACAAGTAAACCACAAATCTTCAGTCCATCATTTAATGTCTTGTGAAGCAAAAAGCTGCATGTTTGTAAGAAACAAATCCATCATCACATTTTTAACTTCAAACCGTTGCCTCCGTAATATCCATAATATTACATTGTTCAGTAAAAAAGTTGTCACATCTGAATCAGTAGAGAAATATGCACAGATCAAGCACCATTTACAAGCAAAAACAGTTCTAAACAAATATGCTGGTGATCAAGTGATGTAATGCTAAATGTATCTAAATCTATTCCAATGTAGAAACAAACTCATTTATACAAACCAAGTGTGAGTGCATTTTTAGCAATTTTTCATTATTGAAGTTTTTCAATATTTATTTTTTTATTTCAGCTTTATTGCAATTACAGAAAACAGTGTTCTAAAGAGCTAAAGATGAAATAGTTCCTATCCTATTTCAACTATTACCGATTGCTTATTAATGAAATATGTTCAACAAGCACATGTGAGTGGTTTTCGGGTGTCCACTTACTGTTGGCTGTGCAGTGTATGATTGCCTCAATTTATTTTTATTGTGTATGATTGCTTATTTCACCTGTGGGACTGCGGCACATGATCAGCGGCGTTCCAGAGGTCTGGCTCTCCACGCTGAGAGATGGACTGTACACAGATGAGGCCGTGGAGGGGTGACTGCTCTACAGGACACAACACACAGCAAATGACAGACTGAGTAATCTGCAGAGGTAATGGTAATACTAGTACCATCATCGCTATAGATTGTCCTAGAACTAGCTGTACAGCAGTAATTAAGCATATCGACAAACGTCAGGCTTAGTGAATCAATGCAAAGGGCCATTTAGTGTGTGATGGTTATCTGCAAAGCAGCTGTGTACAGGAAGTTTCTGAAGCATAATTGAATTGTTTTCACAGTGAGCTTATCTGAGGTGATTATCTACAGGAGCTTTGAAAGGGAAAGAAACACTGCAAAAAAAAAAATCTTAATCATCTTAATCATTTTGTCTTGCTTTCCAATTAAAAAAAAAACACCTAGACCTGACTGAAGCATAAGTGAATTGTTTTCACAGTGAGCTTATGTGAGGTAATTATCTCAAGAGCTTTGCTAGAGTAAGAAACATAATAATTGTGAAAAAAGTGAAAAATAATTTTCATAATCATTTAGTCGTTTTACAGCTTAAAAGAAAAATAGAAACATCCTTAAAAAATCACTTACTTTTTTATTTTTTCCTTTTAAAACTCAGTTGTCAAAATGACAAACTTGTTTTAAGCATAAACTTCATTAAATGTTGTTAGGCTTACATTAAAACTAAATATATATATATATATATATATATAT